CTGTGGCGGAACACATTATTTCAATAAATTGCAATGTACAGTTTGTCGAGTGCATCTAATTATATTTAATGTGTTGTTTTGTTGCTATTTTGTAGTGTTTGAACACAGCAATTTTACGTTCTTACATTGCACATATAACTATCAGACACTGTCAGTCTCGTGCACTTTAGGTAACAATAATTATAAGATATTAGCTGTCCCCAACTTTAAACTAAAGAACCTCATTACTAGGGCCCGGATTTTTTAAAATGCATATGCGCATATGCAAATGCATATTTTGAGGGTTTTTGGTCGTTACTGCATATTCTAAACGTAAGAGCATATTTCTGCATATATGTTTGAAATTAAGGATAATATAGATATTCTCTAACAAAATCGGGTTTGCCTGTGTTTTGGGCATCCATTGCCAGTTGCTATTCTGAACTCTCTGAGTAACGGCACTTTTACCACTTACAATGCAAGCAGATAGCTTGGTTATATCGAAAGGGATGTGGTGCGATTTTCCTGCATTCCTTTGACCACCACAGCAGCCAGTAGCATCAGAGGGTTGGTTGGTCTTGAGAGAAAAGTCTCTTCAGTTAATGTGTTACTTTTTTCTTTAATAGTCTGCATCAAAAGGTGTTCGTGTACTGAAAATGCCTAAAGAAAAGTGCAGCGGTAGATATTTGAAAAATCGGTGGGTGTCGGGTAATTGTGACTATTCAGCAGACGGTGTCGTCGTGTACTGTCAAGTTTGCGCAAAGGAAGTAAAATATGAAAAGAAATTTCAACTTGAACAACACTCAAGAACGACTGCACATATTACGGCAAAGAAGGGGAAAAAGAACAGCACACCACAAAAACTACTTCTTACACAGGTCAAACCCAAGTCCTCTGTTAATATATTTTCAGCCGATCTTTGTAAGGCTTTAGTATGCAGCAACATTCCATGGAATAAATTAAGCAATCCAGTTCTGCGATCATTTCTGGAGAAATATTGTGTAATTCAAAAGATCCCAGATGAATCAACTCTTAGAAAAAATTATCTACCTTTGCTGTATGAATCTACTCTGGAGTCAATCCGTTCTGACATCGGAGGGAACTGTGTCTGGATATCGTTGGATGAGACAACCGATTTATATGGCCGATACATAGGAAATTTCGTATTTGGTAAGCTACACCCAGACGAACCCGGCAACCCTCATTTTCTTGCTTGCACATTACTAGAGAAAACCAACCATAGCACAATAGAAAGATTTGTAAATGATTCTCTGCAACTACTTTCGCCATCTGAAATTGAGAATAATTCTTCTAAGGTGCTTGTATTACTCACAGATGCAGCTTCCTATATGTTGAAAGCAGCAAAGGCCTTACAAGTATTTTATCCAAATCTTATACATGTAACCTGTTTAGCTCACGGATTACACCGTATTGCAGAAAAAATACGAGCACAGTTTCCATCTGTTAACGATTTAATTGCAAGTGGGAAAAAATATTTCTGAAAGCACTAGCTCGTGTTCAGTTCTACAAAGATTGCTTACCTCAGGTTCCTCTGCCACCTGAACCTGTCCTAACTAGGTGGGGGACATGGATATCCGCAGTTTCATTTTATCAGGAGAATTTCAATCAAGTAAAAGAAGTGGTTACAAAACTTGAAGATGAGTATGCATTTGTCCATGAAGCAAAAGTGGTGTTTGGAAGTGATACTGTTTATCAAGATGTGAATTTTATCCATGCACATTTTTCTACAGTTTCAAAAGCCATTGAGAGCTTAGCATCTCATGGTGAACTCCTTCACGACTCATATCAACTCGTTCAGGAAGCAACATGTTCACTGAACTCCGGTCCAGGCGAAATTGGAGAGAAGATTAAATTCAGGTTAGAAATGGTGTTGAAATCGAATCCAGAACTAAAAAAGATTGAGTCAGTTAGTTAGTACTTGAGTGGAATTAGGGTATCTTTGCCAGATGAATGTTCCGAACCTTCGGCGCCAGTGTATACATACTGTCCAATCACGGCAGTTGATGTAGAATAATCATTCTCAGCCTGTAAACGCATTTTGACGGACAACAGACGCAGTTTGTCTCCAGAAAACACTGAAAGACTTCTAGTTGCCTATTGTGATGCTACTTTCTGCAGTGAATGATACATGTAAATAGGTGAGTCTGAATAAAGTGACCTGTTTCTTAAGTGCATATTTATTTTGGTGCATATTTTCTCGCTCTTTAGCGCATATTTTAAGTGTTTTAGCGCATAAAGATCCGGGCCCTACTCATTACATTGAAGTCATACTTCTTTATTGGCCTATTTGTTTGCTAATTGCATGAACTATTGATTCGTGAGATCTGCTACCGCCTACGAGACAAATTAACACATCTTCTTACCATTGTATCCCTTGTATAATTTTTTTAATTCGCTTAGTGGGGGGTGGAGTCCAACTGGGTCCAGTCGGTACGGCGGCCACTGATTGGCCTATTGTAGCAGGCTCCGGGTGATTATGATGATGAAGAATTTGGTGGAATGAAGATTGGCAGGGGAAACCGAAGTACTCAGAGGAGACCCGCCCCAGCGCCACTTTGTTCACCATAAATCCCACTTGACCAGACCCGAGATCGAACCCGGGCCGCCACGATGGAAAGCCAGCGACTAACTGCTTCAGCTATGGCGCGGCCTTGTATAACTTAGTTTGTTGTCTGAAGTGAACGTATTTATTCATATTATTTTCAACAGAACATTTAACATACACGTAATTCTAGTTACGCTTCATTTTAAAGCATACGCGTAGATTGCGTCTTACGCCACTACTGAAATAAAAGTATCTTACTACCTCCAATCTCTCTAAACAAAAATACGTTTTTACCATCCATACGTAAGAGAATTTTGTCGTAAAGCTGTTGCTCGAATCACAGGGTACAGTGTAAGAACAAGATACAGTTCTCTTCTTCGCCCCAATAACCAGAATTTCTTTGTAATTGAATAACTGTTGTTATTTAGTCAAAAGAGATCATGAAGAGGTGGCTTGGATGCCTCTTGAAGGAGAGAATGGAAAAGAAGGGGGGGGGGATGACGTCACGATCGTCACGAAGATGTCCGCTCGAAGGTAGCTACTGACCCAGTGAACTAATAAACACCCATCTTCACAGAACATGTGTAGCCAGGGATGTAACACTGCCCAAATCCTTCCTTTATGTTTTCATAGCAATTATTTCATTCTCTCTATGCTTTCCATTCCGAAGTACGAGTATTGTGATACTGAATGGGGACTTCCGTGATCAGGCTTCAGAGAATAACATCCATGTAAACCTAAATGTTCAGTGACTGTTGGAGCAGACTGAATCCCCAAGCATTCGTAACGCCAGAATTCTTGGTGCAAATCAGTCCATATTGATTATAGTCTATCGTTATTAATTTTGAAACAAATTGAGTAATTATTACACTAATTTATCAGTTGAAAATATAATTATCTGAAAATATGCTAATTATTTTAAGAGCCGCCAAAGCATTAAGGTAGAATTATATGTACCGTACATAACACAGAAATTGTTCTTGGCTCATGGCGGGGATCTAGTTACAAATAAATAATCCAAAATCCTGCGACAGAAATGACGGACGTAGCGTTCCGAATATAGAGTCGCTAAGTATCCGATTCGTATTTCGACATATCACCGGATATCTTGCTAAAAATTTGTTTTCCTGGCGTATTCTTGAATTGTACGAGAATTTTACAATAGATGCCTCTGTTTCTTACAAATTCTTACTTAGGCAACATTTCTCATAATCTTAGCCGATGCTATATAAATTTTGCAGTCGAAATAGCGTCATAATGTAAGGAACAGTTAATAGAACATCGACGAAAATAAAAAAATGGACACATAAACAATAAATGAAAATGAAGTTTGTATTGAAATCGAGCTTCAGAATATGTACAGTCCTTCCATTTAAAGTTCTCCTGTTCCTCTCTTGATAAAGTGACACGAGGCCACAGAGGCGGTCTGTAAACGGAACAGCGATTGAAAATGTTTGGAAACAAGGTCTGAAGAGAATGACAAGGAAAAAGAAAGTAAAGCTATTCCTGTAACGACAGCCTCTGTAGTCTAGTGGCCAGAGTTTCTGGCTACAGATCCAGAGGCCCCAGGTTCGATTCCCGGCGCTACCAGATTTTCTGATAATTAGTGGTTCTGAAACGGGGTTCACTCTGTCTAGTGAGGTTAATTAAGGAGCCATTTCAAGGAAATAGCGGCTCCGGTCTAGAAAAACCGAAATTAACGGCCGTGGTGATGCGTTGTCTGACCACGCGACACTCTCTATCCGCTAAAGCTGGCACTACCTTCGCCCAGAAGCGGTGGTCGCTCGGTCGGTATAGTTCGCTTGCGGACTAGAGACTACGGAGTTTGTTTTGTTTTCTTTTATCCCTGTAACAGTTTGGAGGCCCATAGGTTGTAAGATGTTGAGGCTCCCATATTTTCTAGACAGTCGGCTCACAGATGTCGGGAAGATTGCCAGCCTTACTCGCCGGCCGCCCTTCGCCCATTCCCAGGAAGATTCCTGGCACTCATTTGTGTTAGAAGGTAGTAGACCCCAGGGCCATAATGCAGCTGGATGGTCTTGGTTAATTAAAAAATTTATTGAAGTCATCGAGAATCAAACCTGTGCCCTTCTGGATTACAGCATAGTATCTCAAGTAACTACATTGCCGCGTGCACAAGAATATGACAATGGTTTTGTGAATCGCGGTTTGTGCCATTACCACTGCGAACTATAGATGCAGCAAGAAGTTTTTATGTGAACATCACAATTTATCTTTCAACGCTCATAATAGAGAACATTTGTAGTTGATTTAGAAATTCTAAAACTCCTTACTCATTATGTCTATACGGTTGTAAATATATTCAAGGGATGTAACGGCAGCAGCTTACAACCGCGTATTTCTGATGTCCGTTTCACATCAAAGGTTGAGTTTCTCTTTGAACATGCTGTATATATAGTAAAGTAAATATAAAGATTGTGAAAATTCCTTCATTTCATTTATTTAACATATCGCCAATATGCTCATTAATTACACTAAGCCATGACATGAGAAATAGTTTATGAAACCAGCAAACTGGCACATCCAGGTCCAACTTGATGATCTGAGGTTGAATGATGTCATCTTGGCTTGCCAGGTTGGCTGAACTCATGTAACACAAACATTAATGTACATTGGATATTCACACGACTGTAAAACCAAAAAGTTTTTCAGCGCTTCATTTTGGGGTCATAAGACAGTGTAATGTCTTCAAGACTATGTCACAGGAAGGCGGTTGTGAAGATCATTTCCTTCAGCGAAGCGTAATTACTGACCTATATTTATACTTACACAGATGTCATTAAGGTCACATCCATGGGATGAAAAGCAGGAGTTAAATGTTACTAACGTGACTCTCGAAATTGTTCATTGTCCTGAAGATATGAAAGACAATAATCGCTAACATCAATATGTGGAAAGGAACATGACGAAGCCGTCTTCTTGCAGACCTCTGAATGGCTTAGCATTGTCTAACTCACTGACATTACACAAACGGAAGGTATGAGATCATGATAGAGAAAGAACATCCTTTTAATTAGCATAAATATTTAGACGTTTCATATATTATAATCAAACAACAACTTTTGAATTTCCTGTAAAAATATATTTTGTGTATTCATTCATTCATCAGTAATCTGTCAGACGACAGGTCCACAATCTCTTCCAAAACAGTTCCTCCACTTAATGCGATCTTCTGTTTTTGGAAAGAGACTATCCAGGAAAAGTGATAATGTGGTAGTTTTTCCATTTGCTTTCCACATCGCAGTACAGCAGCCGTAAAGACGTGTCATTGTTACGAAATGGCTCAGTATTGAAACTCGTAACAGCGTTTTGGTATGCGTCCGTTTAAATTTGATCCAGCGCAACAGTCTGCGCAGAAGACCTTTCTTCTTTTGTTTCTTTGCAGTGTTCGTATCCCCTGGTTTTTTTCTGCACCAACCGAAGAGTTTCTTGTGCCTTCTTTCCTTTTTAGGTGCCTTTTCCTTCTTGTCATGGCCGCTGATTTGCGATTCGACGTTCGATGTGCGGACCACGGAATCTTTGCTGACATGGTCTAGATCTTGGATGATCTTTTCCACACTGCTCCCAAGAGACTGATTGCTCTCGACGCTTCCAGACTCTGGCTTCGGTGGCTCGCTCATGCTAACCTGTGGCGATGTAATACTGACGAAGGGAACACTTTCCAGAGATTCTTCATCGTCACATTTGGGCGCTTGAGTAAGCAGTTGCTCTTTCTTTGGAGGTACTACATCATCTGGAACGGGAACCTTCTTGTCATGGCCACTGATTTGCGATTCGATGTTCGATGTGCGGACCACGGAATCTTTGCTGACATGGTCTAGATCTTGGATGATCTTTTCCACACTGCTCCCAAGAGACTGATTGCTCTCGACGCTTCCAGACTCTGGCTTCGGTGGCTCGCTCATGCTAACCTGTGGCGATGTAATACTGACGAAGGGAACACTTTCCAGAGATTCTTCATCGTCACATTTGGGCGCTTGAGTAAGCAGTTGCTCTTTCTTTGGAGGTACTACATCATCTGGAACGGGAACCTTCTTGTCATGGCCACTGATTTGCGATTCGATGTTCGATGTGCGGACCACGGAATCTTTGCTGACATGGTCTAGATCTTGGATGATCTTTTCCACACTGCTCCCAAGAGACTGATTGCTCTCGACGCTTCCAGACTCTGGCTTCGGTGGCTCGCTCATGCTAACCTGTGGCGATGTAATACTGACGAAGGGAACACTTTCCAGAGTTTCTTCCCCGTCACACTGGGGCACTTGAGTAAGGTCTCCCACTTTCCTTAGAGGTACTACATCATCTTGAACGGGAACCTCACTGCTTTCGTCTCCAGTTCTCCAGTTCTTCCTCCAACAGTCAACTTTGGGCTTAACGTCACCGTAATCGGGAATAGGAAAGTTCACAATACGACGTCTCCCAACACGCCGTTTTCCCTTGATGTCCCGAGTAGCCTGCACAGGTCTCGCCCGGCTGGCCGTTACCCGAGTTTCTGCAACTTCACACTTGGGAACTTGAGTAAGGTCTCCCTGTATCCTTGGAGATACATCATCTTGAATGGGTACCTTGTTCCCATTAGTTCGTAGATCCGTAAGTGGCCTGCCGGTCTTCATACTTCGACGATTCTGAGTGTAAGAATAGTTTCTCATCTGGTTAACACCTTAACAGCTTTGTGTATATAAGAGTATAATGTTCTATCTCCGTTTGTTTTGAACGCAACTTGCGGAAAATACAGCAACAGTTATCCTTAATAAAAGCAGGAAAACTGGAATCAAATTAGAGAGTATTTAGATCTAAGATTGTATAAGGTGTAGTGGGTGTAACTGAGTGTCTGTGGAGTGGCCACATTGCTGCGGAGTCGGAACTGCTCTTACAGAGGCATATTCGGAGTATTCCTCCGTGAAGATGATGGTTAGCACCTTGAATTTTGAAATTCATCTAAACCATTATTTAGAAATCTAGTCACTATGTCACAGAAAGCATACTGCGCCTCCACCACAAGAACTACGTGTATTTCCGTAATATTAGCCTGATTACTGCTGGAAACATGGAAACACAGCCAATCCAAACCCTTCATTCACACACTGCACTTCCGTCCACAGCGCAGCATATTGGTGATATGATCTGTGACGTCTCAGTCGGCGCAGCGAAGGTCTACAGACTGGACGGTAGGAGTTCGATTCCCGGCAGTATCAATATTTCTTTTTTCCATAGCGTCTAGACTGTCTCTGGGTCCCACCCAGCCTCCTGACCAATGTACTAAGTCCCTTGTACTGCGGCCACTTCTGGCCTATTGTACCAGCCCCAGATGATAGATGAGGGTGACTGTGGAGCAATAGGTGGAATGAAGATTGGCAGGGGAAACGGAAGTACTCGGAGAAAACCCGCCTCAGCGCACTTTGTCCACCACAAATCCCACTTGACCAGACCCGGGATCGACCCTGGGCTGCCGCATTGGGAAGCCAGCGACTAACCGCTTGAGCTATGGCGCGGCCCTGACCAATGGATACCGGAGACTATTTTCGTTTTGGATAAAGCAGCTGGGGCGTGAAGCTAACAAATCATCTCCGTCTATTACCGAGGTCAAGAATGGTGTAGCTATACCTCCATTCCCGCAATATGTCTTCTTGTCGTGGCGCTTAATTAATTGAGCACGGAGACAACTTTACTTTTCATATATTACTGAGTGACTGAAAAGTGATAAATTAGAATTGTATACATTTCGCTGTATTAGTTGTAATCTTTAAGAAATATCTCTTGCGAATATTCAAATATTTGCTACAGCGCGGTGTAATAGAAGGACGGACTCAGAATATCAGCGGTATCACCAAGTTTCCCCAACGCGGAAGAAGAAGGGGAAGTGTTGGCACGAAAGTGGCGCCCAAACTGGTCAGGCCGGTGTGGGTAGTATATACAGAGCATGCCTACATTTCATATAACCCTTACCCCTCAAGGGAAAGAAATAATAATAATAATAAAAAAGTGACTGAGGAGAAGGCAGGTTAGTGGGCCACTAAGGAATGAACTCAATTAGAGGAAGTAGGTGTTTCTTTTTTACGTTAAACTATATCTATTCTCTAATAAAAATATCACTAACAAAAGTAAATGAGTTATATTGAAGCAAAAATGACTAATCCACTGTCATCTGTTCTCTTTTTGTGCGTAAGTGATGTGGTTTGCAAATTAACGTGTTTGTGATATACCGGATCAGTAATGCTAGGCGAGGCTGTTGAACTCTGTGTTTCGTAGCCTTCAGGTGCTGACTTTCTCTTCTCCCACACTTAATTATAATAGCCAACAGGACTGGATACCAATCAACCGGATAATCCACTATTCATGTTCTTCTTCGGCTTGTTCTTCCATTCCTCATTTCCCTCCCTCCATCTTTTTCCTTTTATATTTCTGATATCGCATTTGAAAGAGACACACCCCTTTTTATAGAGTTCATTGACTTGAAATTATCTAATGCTTTTTTGTTCAAGATTATTTTTACAGCAAGAAGTTAAGAAGTTTAAGGTCAGGTATTGTAAACGCTATTTCTTGTTATTTTTGTTCTGTAACTCTTTTACTTCAAGTAAGTGGCATTAAAAGGCGTTAGCGCTTCCAGTGAAATAAAACTTGATCCTAAATGAATACAATCACGTGATAAATACATTATGTGCTGCGTAACTGTAAGCAGGAAGAAATACTACCGCCGATTTTTTTAAATCTCATTTACACATTCACTGAGGAAGATTTTATTTCTGGACTTAGATGATATCTGTGCCGACAGGAACAACTTTTTAAGTGTTCCTCAGAAGAGTATAGTTTATATCATATAGCCCTGAAATCGGGTGAATAGAGAGACGGACAGACAGATGTACAAAATTCTGGATCGATGTAGATAATTTTTTATTATATTTACTTAATCCATTCCTCTTATTCTTTTACTGTGTCGAGGTTATTTTTTCATTTTGATCATTTTGGAGTCGGTATGACTCCTTGTACGAGTGATTAGCTCGTCGCAAGGCCTCTACCTAAACACAGGGCAACACAAACACAGAATAAACACATACACATAACAAACATCCATGGTTTGCTTGGGATTCGAACTCACGATCCCTACTTCCGAGCGAGCGAAGACAGTTCATGCCTTAGACAGCTCGGCTGCTGTGACACATTGGAAATAAAGAGGCACATTGAATTTGATGTTCTCCTTGGCCTGAAGTTTCTTCTTGAAATCAGAACACTCAGTAACCTATGGGACTTCAGAGACTGATGCCAAATGCATTAGTACTGCTTGATGTAGCAAAATCCATACTAGATGTATCCCTCGGTATTTCCTGGCCTTCAGTAGCCTGTGTGCTGTGTACAGGATTACGTTGTAAAATATACTACATTTCATGCGTCCAATGGATGTCGCTCCTCTATGTGTGCAGTTAGTTAACTAATTTTTAAATGCTTTCTGGTTCCATTCTTTCAGCACGATAAATCTAATTAAGTATATCGTTCTCCATCAGAATTAATCTGGTACCGTGGATCTTATAGAGAGCTGGTAGGACTCCTTGGACGGATGATCAGACATGTCACAAGGCCGGTACCTACACAGAAGGGAGGCGGAGAGACATCCACGCCTCGAGTGTAATTCGAATCCACAATACCAGTGGTTGAGAGGGCGAAAATATTTCATAACTTAGGCGGCCCATACACGTACGAGTCTGGTTCGCGAGTCCGGCTCGGCGAGGAGCCAGACTCGCGATTAATTTCACCACACACGTATGAGCGTTGCGACCCACACGCGCGGACGAGTTTGGCTCATTGGAACCCGAACTGAGTCGGACTCGCGAGCCAGACGCGTACGTGTATGGGCCCTCTTAGACCGCGCGGCCACTGTCAACGATGTATAGTATTCAGATTGGAAATATACATATATATATAGTTAATTTCTAGTTACAGTGTTTGTAATTTGATACCTTGAGTATCCCGCCACACACCTAAGAAATTCCGTTAGTGATGACTCTCTCATTTATCGGAATTTACGCCGTAAGGATCAACCTGCCTTACAGAGGAACGGAATGAATCGAAAGGTCCAACCTTGATGATGATGATGATGATGGTGAATATTATACATTTCTGTCACCACACGGATGATAGCTTAGATCTAGAGTTGTCATAATGTGCCATTCGTTTTTTCTGCAGTTTGAAGCTTATTACGGTCTGTTATTCTTAACTTCGTTGTATATTCCGATATTTGTATAAGCGTCCTTAAGGACACCACGAAAATCCTCAGACAGGAAAGATTTTCCGAAATTCAACGTACCGAATACAAGGCAGACACTTGGATCGAAGCTGTAACTCTACAACTTTTATTTTCCGTAGACTTTTCGGTTCAGAAGATCCGAGAACCAATCATGAAGACCTGTGGGCTATTTGTCAGTCCACTTTTATGATGCTCCACATTCAGCTGTTATTTACTTGTTCTACCTGAAAATCTTGATCAGCTTCGTTATTCAGATCACTTATAAAGAAATTAAGACGGGACTACGTGGCGTCACATCCAAGGTGTTTTCATTTTTGATTTTTCGGTTTCCCCGAAAGGGTTCACTGGTCAAAGTATGTAACTTTTTCAGTTATTTAAAGGTAACTGTCTTCCAAATATTAACCAGCTCACTGCACAGTAAAGAGCTTGCTCGAAAAATTTTATAATCCTTAATCTGGTCAGGAAATTTCCAACCTTTCTGGAATCCGAAATTTAGTCATCGCATTTACAAAAGTCTCCTCGTGGATCCCACCCGAACTTAGCATAATCAAGTCTACCACTTCATATCTCATTTCTATGAGATCCGTTTTAATATTTTTCCCTCAACTACTCCTAAGTCTCCCGAATAGTCTACCGCTTTGAGATTTTACGAAGTAGATCTACCGGGTATAAATTTCGACCTTCATCCAGCTACCTGTCTCAAAATTTTCAGAGCTTTTCTCAATTGTCTACTGGACAGCTTTTTCACTCCCTGTAACCGTTTGCATCACACTGGACGCTACATAACTTCTGCAGGTGCGTGAGTATAATTAAATGACCCATAAATTAATCAGATACACCACATTGTTGTGAGGCTGATCGCTCTTATAAAATTCAAGTGTTTCTAAGTTAATTATTACACTTTGACTCTTAACTCTTAAATTGCGAGTATAAGAAAAATTGAACCTGATGTCGCAGCACATTCAATAACCAGAAGCTGGTAGTCACTCATCTGATCGAGACATTTATCATCTTTTTAAAACTCGAAGGTTTATTACCATTTTCAGAAGAGTCCCCAACTGGAGCTGAACTGAATTCATTCAAACCTCTCACGCCCTATTTCCTTAAGATCCATTTTAATAGTAGTTTATTAGCCTACTTTTCTTATTTAGAAAAATGAAGTAGACTTATGCAACCCCCATGCTCTCTGTGTGTCTGTGTATCCCTCCTATCAATCATCGAATGTCTGGACCAGTCTTTATGAAACTTGATATATGTATCATGGAACTTAAGCACATCTCAACGGCGTACTTCACAAATCTCTCCCATCAGTCTTTGTATCCATATGTGTAACCTCCTCTCGTTGCTAAACAACGGCTCGGTAAATATTTCACAGCGGCAGTGAATAAACATGCAACAATAGAAGAATT